ACCTTTGGACACCCTATGGGGCACTTCAACTCTGTCCTACAGGGTCGCGAATCAACTCGACCAGCAATAGGATTTTTTTGTTTGTTTATGCATATTATATGTAGACAGTTCTCTGAAGGAAAAATTCAACAAATTATTGTGAAACACTTTCAAACCTGATATGTTCTTTGTTGCTGTTTTTGTTAGCTGCTGTGGAGTCAGGCCCCCAATTTATCACGACTCCATCCACAACAGAACGAAACACAGCCTTGTCCCATGCTGTCCCCGTGAAACCTAATCAGCACCATAAAAACAAACAAGCCTCCACGGATGATGGACGGGTGGTCGCTGTGCACGGAGGGCTTTGGGCGGCAGTGGGACCTCCTGCATGGAAGGCCAGGACTCTCCCACAAGTCGCCACTGTCCCCCAGTGTGCTCTACAAACACAGACTAATGAAAAGCCATCCAAATGCTACTTGTCCATACTTGCACTTTCTTTTTCTTTTGGCTCAACTCTGTGCGCTTCCCACTAGACTAGAAGCCCGCTGAGGGGAGGTGTCCTTGTCAGGTTGGCCACTGGGTCTCCATGCCTGGCTCAGAGTAATGGCTCTATAAAGCTGTATTGTATAATGTAAGAAATGAACTGTCAAAGAGCTCCTAGAACGTTATAAAGCATCTTAAAATTTTATTTTCGAATTTCTGATCATATCCTGTGAACACTTTGGAAGGACAAGCTTCGCAATGTTGTTGTTGTTGTTGTTTGTTGTTATGTGCCGTCGAGTCAGACCTGACTCATAGCGACCCCTCCTTGGGTTTCTGAGGCGGTATCACTGCGGAAGTAGATTGCCCACTCCAAATTTGTCAATGTCCAACAGACAGAAATGAGACTCTAAGGGAAAGATCAATTTTGTGCTCCTCAACCTCTTCCAACTCTACGTGATTTCAAGTTGATTGCATTTCATTATGTTTGAAACAGTTAAAAAGAGTGTCCAGGTAGGCTCCCTTGAAGCCAGTTCTGATTCGTGGTGACCCCACGCCCAACAGCATGAAACTCGTCCTGGCCCTGGCCCATATCCATGATCGGCTGCAGATCCGGCCATTATGACCCATAGGGTTTTCACTGACTGGCTTTTGGGAGTAGATTGCCAGCCAGGCCTTTCTTCCTACTTCATCTTAGTCTGGAAACTCTGCTGAAACCTTCTCAACATCGCAGCAGGATGCAACCTCCACTGATAGATGGGTGGATGGTGGCTACGCAGCAGGTACACTGGTCAGGAATCAAACCCAGGTCTCCCACATGGAAGGTGAGAACTCTACCACTGGTCCACCATGGCTCCCTCCTAAGGAAGCCTAAAATAAAAGCTGTCTTCATCACTCCAAGCCTTGAGATGTTGATCCTTTCTAGGTATTGGCTTACAAATTAGATCCTACTTCAGTACAAGTGTTTCTTTTCTAACATGGCTTAAAACAACTGCCACACATGTCTATACGCCTGTTTTAACTAGGACTGCCCAGAGAGTCCAGCAGGTCACTGTTTATTCTTCTCAAAATATCTCATTATCAGGTACATTAACTCAACAAACATTTCAGTCAACTAGAGCAGCTATAGAATTTGAACAAATAGTCAGTTTTGACAGCATTTACATCCTTCGGTTCATTAATTGAATAATGTGTCAACATAACAAAATATTTGCCGCTTGTTATCTGAGAGAAACAAAATCTCCCCTGGGCAGAGTGTTCCATCTTCTGAGGACTACAGGCCCAGTATTTGGTTTAAAGTAGCTAGATAATGCTCAGGTCTGTTTTTTTTTCTGTTTAAAGCTGTGGAAACAGTAAAGTAACTAAAATAAGGAAGCACATAGTAATGTACAGTGACTTCAGATAGCTGGAAATAAAAAGTCACTAGTGATAAGCCGGGAGCTCTAGTGGCGTAGTGTCTAAGGCATTTGACTCCCAACCAGAAGGCTGGCGGATCAAACCCACCAGCCACTCCTCAGAAGAAAGGTTGGGCAATCTACTTCCATAGTGATACCGCCTCAGAAACCCAAGGAGGGGTCGCTATGAGTCGGATCCGACTTGATGGCAGAAGTTTTAGGTTAGTGATAAGCCAGGAGTCCCTGCGTGCCACAAAGAGTTAAACACCTGATTACTAACCAAAAGGTCAGGAATTCAAATCCACTCAGAGGCACCTCAGAGGAAAGGTCTGGTGATCTACTTCCAAAAGGTCACAGCTGTTGAAAGCCCTACGGAGCACAGTTCTACGACGACACACCTGGGCGCTCCATGAATCAACTCCACCAGCAACCGGTTAGTGATAAATCAATGGTAAGTTTCACTGCTTCTCACTGAGATAATAATTAAATTTAAGCTTCTTTTTCAAGGATAGCAAAGACAATTGAACACAAGGCTCACTCCAAAATGAAGCTGAAATACAAACGCGTATCAAGAAAACATTAAACCAGTGCCCTTTGTCAACACAGGGAGATTACACCAGCCTTTGACCCATTAAACTGAGACATTTGCACAAGAAATTAACTTTCTTGTTGGATCTCCAAGCTGCCAGTGCCACATCCGCCTGTCAGAAAGCAAGTATATAGAGTACTAACTGCCCTCCATCAGTAGAGAAAAATTTGCAAGATGTCTTTACCTGATAATCTCAGTGTAATTGAATCCTGACAGGGCACAATGAGTGACTGTTACTATGCAAATGGTCACATTACAAAACCAAAGCCAAAGCAGCCTAGATAAACACAAAACAAATCAGAAGCCCTTAAGGAGGTTCCAATGGCCTAATTCGAGAGTCTGTTTTTAAAATAGCAACAGAACAACTAAAACTTGTTTCCTAAAATGACTCCCCTGTTGATACATCTCAATTCTAAACTGAGAAGTATGTTGGCCCTCATCAATTCTATGGTAAAAGAAAGCATTACCAGAGAATACCAGCAAAAAAGAAAAGACCTTCCTACAAGGAAATGAGTACCGTCAGCATATACTTTTAAGGACACTAAAAAAGCAGAAGTCACAGTAAGTTCAAAACACCAAGAAAAAAATGAACAGAAGTTCCTAATTTTAGCAATATTATATACCCCTCACTTGAAATAATAAAAACGTCCACGTGTTGCGACGTGTTGATTGTATACACAGAAACTGCACATTTAGGACTCCCTGGACTTTAGGAGGCACAGGAAAGGCAAGAAAGAAAAAAAAGGAATTAGGCATTTTGTACCACATTTATAAAAATATACAGGTTTTGTTGCTGTTTAATGAAATTTACATTTGATCTGGGGTTCTCCTTTTACTTAGTTTCCCACTTGCCGGAATTTTTCAAAAGCACTGATCTTCAATTGGCTTCAGCTGTCAAATTTTGGACTAGGAATGTCAATTTCACCACATTTCCAAAAGGCTCTACTCTCTTCCCCGCTTTTCACCACTTGGCATTGCTTATCAGAGGGCATGTCTGGTAAAACCAATAAGACCACACGGGCCCAATATATCTAGAGCAAGAATGTCTTTGTTTACACCACTTGGCTTTTCCCAACAAATAACCCCACGGGACTGACATTTCCCACATCACAGAGCTCGTGTGTGGACCCGTAAGAACAACGTGAAGATCCCTTCGCATCAAAAGGACGACTTTTAGTCTCCTTCTCTCAGGGTAACATGTAAGCAATCTTGGGTGGATGATGCTTGAAGAAGTAATAGTTTCCAAAACCAGGTACCGCTTTGGTTTAGATTCCAATGTTTTACAAAATGGCATGATTTCATATTTACCATAAAGAAGAGTGTCTCTTTTTCTCCTCCACTCCACAAGGAGCTGTCAGAGTTGAGATGCCCTGGCTCTATGCTGGCTGTACAACTCATCAGGGTGTTGATGAGGAAAGAAGCCGGGGCAATACCTCCACCACTGCTGCCTTGTGATATCATTCGAAAGTCACTGTTAACATCAAGAATGCTCTTTTCTGGAGTGGTGTTAATGAGCTGAGCATATTTTACGAGGTGATATGTCCAGGCAATCTCTACAATCATAAATCACTTGAGATAAAATTACAACTTGATGGACCTTGTCTCTCACACACACACACACACACACACACACACACACACACCAACCACACTCCCAATTCCACTGAGCCCTTCTTCAGTAATTTAACACATCCCTATCTGGAATCACCCATTCAATGTGCTTTTTTAAAATGAATCCCATCTCAGCCTCTTCATAAAGTGCCACCAGTAAGTAGACCTGCAAGTTGAGGAGAAAGCAGCTATGGTGACAGCACCAAAAAGAAAACGGGGAGAGTCAGAAGCCACTGCTTACTGCCTGGGGCACGAAAGGGGCCAGAGCCTTGCAGGCTGACTTCACTGATGGAACTCAAGGGGAACAAGTGCTGGAAACAGTGGTGTCAAGTCCCCGGGACAAAAAGCCAGGAGCCAGCACTCCAACAGCTGAGGAGCCCAGAGGGAGCCGAAGGGAGGACGCAGTTGGAAAGGGGGACGCAGGAACCGGGAAGAACGGCCACGCTGCAGCTGTTAGGGAACCACAGGGATGGGGCAGAAGGAGTGACAGGGATGAGGCAGGAGGATACCACAGCAGGGAAACTGTGAGGATCATAAGGATGCGGCTAGAGCGGACCCCGGAGATGGGGCAAAGGGGACCCCAGGCAGGAGGCCGGACTGACACAGGGATGGGGTGCAGAAAACACGGATGGAAAGGGGCAGCGGGGCAGGAGGAGGCAGGGCTGGGCTGGAGTGCGCGACAAGGACGGAGCCCGTCAGCGAAGTCGCAGCCCCAGCCTCGCCAGCCCCCTGCCGGGCGGTCGCTACGCGCGTCAGGCGCTGCGCTGGGCACTTTGGGGCGCTCTCTCCCTGAGTTCCCCCAACAGCCCTCGATGCTCCCATTGCGGGGCCAGGTACGGCGAGGCCGGCGGGGCGCAGAAGCGGCCGAGCGCCCACCCTCCCGGACGCAGGGGGTCGCTCGCCGCGCGACGGGCGGCGGCGCGGGGGGCGGGCCGGGGAGCCGGTACCTGGGCTCCGGCAGGACAATCTTCTTGCTGGCGCGGGCGGCTGGCGTCGCCTTGCTCTTCTCCATCGCCATCAGGTAGCTGACATCGGCCAGCACGGCCTCCAGGTCCGCCATGTTGGCGAGCGGCGGCGGCGGCGGCGGCGGCGGCTCCACGGGACGGGGACGGGGACGGGGCGCGCTC